ATTTTTCTTTCCTGGTGAACAAAATTTGCGAATATGTCAAACCCGCTCTTTTCCGATCTAAATTCCACTGAAAATACCTGAAGAATCCGCAAGTCACCAACGATTTCGGAAAGTTTCTTCAGCTTGTCGTGCTTGCCAGCTAGCCAAATGTTGAAATTTTCATAGGCTTTGTCGAACTCTTTGTGGTCTTTAACGAAGTTTTCATAACGACCAACCAAATCCTTCATCGAAAAAAGACGAATAAATCATGAAACTCATCGTATTCGCTCAAAACGATTTTCGGGGAATTGAAGTAAAACCCAATATGATGAAAATACTGCAATGAATTACTTTAAAAACATGAGATTCATAGTGAATCAGACCTATAAAAAAAACAATAATCTGAGATATACTCGGCAGATATTAGTTTGTAGCTCGGTCGAGTTAGCCGAATTGCAGGTGAGATTTATAGAATGGAAAAGAAAATGAGGAATTTCAGCTAGAACGCTGGAAATCGAAGGTGAAATTTTCGTCAATCTTACCTTGACGTGATTTTTCAGGTGCTGGAAGCGAGAGCTCAAATGTGATGCCTGGAAGTTCAACTTTGATTCGGCGAGTTCCAATGGACTGACAGCACTGCGGATATTTTCGGCACTTCTGACTACGTCCGCAGCTCTGCTGTCAAGCTCTTTGATAAGTTGCTTCAACTTATCCAGTTGCGTTTCCTTCGCTTGCGCAGACGGCTTCAAGGCTGATTGTTCCTTCACCTTTTTCAATGTCCAACAAGAAAATTTCAGCACCAGTTCACGCATAAAAGGACAAAAACCTCGAGTCAAGGCAACTTGAAATATCAGAAAAAATTCGGATTATCGAGGGAGCGCATCTTTTCGAAAATTGTTATTTTTGGCACACGATGAATTTTTAAGCATCTACAAAAGCCAGGATTGAAGATAATTGCAGGGGAAGATTTGATAGGGCTTTATACAGTATTACACATATAATACACATCAGTGCTCAAAACTGTTTGAAAAGTTTTTTTTTCCTTTCCCACGTGTACGTGCATAACGTCGTTGAAAGAATGTTTTCTTGCTGCTCACCCTTCGATCGATGTTCTTCAGCCACGCTGTCAAATCACTCAAACCAGTTTCCAAGGTATGGAATTTTGACGTTTGCGCCTGAACACTTTCTTTGGCTTCCACACACTGAGCCAGCAAATGCTTCCAGGCCTCAACTTGGCAATCAAAATTGGCATCAAGTAACGGACGCCCACTTTCATGAGTTTCCGTTTTGACGGAGGCAAGCAAGGCTTTGCATCCATCGAGCTGTTTTTGTCCCTCATCCTTTTTACTCAGAACACCGTTGACAACTTCTAGCATACTTTCAACCACATCCGTTTCTGAACCAGTGGACGAAGCAGCTCCAGTTGCACTGGTCTCCAAGAGGAAGCTCACTTCTCCCTTGAGACAGTTCATCCAGTCCACAAATCTAAAAAATACATAATATTCATGCTCTCATTTGTCATCAAATAGAATGGTTGACTGCGTTTAGCGTGGAGTTCAACTTTTCCCAACAAGTCTACATGGGAAGAATGCGTTCCATTGCCGCACTAGCCATCTTGAGAAATTTCAGACAGTTTCTGAACAATACATGATTTGAAACGAATATAAAATTTTCGTGGAAACTATTTTGCTGATCCGACCGTTATGCTTGAATGATATTATTGATCGAAAATTGTCTCGGTAATTTCGCTTCAGAGATGCTGGACATGAAGGTTCGAATAAAATGTCAATTGGATGTCAAGAGTATGGTGAACATCCAAATGACAATATCAGTCATATAGTTCATGAAAACCTCGTACAATCAGACTTGCTTCAGGCCTTGATGATATCGAATTTTAAAGAAATATGAATTAGGCACTAAATTTCTAGGTTCAGCAGTACTCACGAACTTCGAACCATTTCTGGTGCGAAAAGACATCTTTCGCGAAACTTTTAACAAGGTTTACAGCAAAACTTAACAGAAAAAAGGACTATTTTACGATGGGTCACCCTTCCATAAAATCCTCCGCAAAAACCAGATTACCAATGGAGACCCCATCCATTTTTAAATCCTTGAAAAAGTATAATAGGCAGCAAAATCCACTGTCTAACAAAAAAAATCCAAACGATAATAAATGTACACAATAGTGTTCATAGAAAAAATAAAAAGAGAAAAGAGCACCCGGATTCGGATCAACCCTCGCATATTAAAACGCTCATGAAATATTACCGTTCGAGTCGATGCTGATAATCTTCGTGATTCATCACCAGCTTCTCACTAACGGCTATTCTTCTTTCAGCATCTCTACACAGATCTTCATATTGCTTCACGAGTTTCTCCATATCTCCAACAACGTGAGAAGCATGAAGTTCCTGCCCCTTTTCCTGCAAGTTATTCATGATCTTCTTGTGCGATGCGAGTTCTTGTCCAATCACTTTCAGATTCTGAAACTGGAGCTTCTTGTCCAGTAGATTCGCCTTGGCTTCCATGGACACGCCGATTCTCTGTGTTATATCCTGCAGCCAAAGATTCGTTTGATTGAACGAATCGTCAAACGAGGTCCACTGAAGAAGAACGCTTTCGAATTTCTTCTCCACCCCATTCAGCTTGTCCAGCAACGTTTCCCAAGTGGATCGCAGTCCTCGAAGTTCTTCGCGAACATTCTCCCGCGCTGGCACACTGAGTTCTCCGAACAACGCTTCACCGCAAGTCACGGCAGTGTTCAGCAATTCTTGTCCCGCGGATTTCTCGTTGATGAAGTCCTTGAGGGAATTGAGCTTGGCTTGGCAAGCCAGGCTGGGTTTGCCTCCACCACGGGGGTCGACAGTGAGGAGCAGAGATGAGTCCAGGGTTTCGAATTCGAGAAGACGGTCGGCGTAGGCGACGAGCCATTTCCGAGCTGCTATCACTGCGGCTTCGTATGAGCGACGGGCTGAGTCACGTTGATTCAGGCGTTTGGAGAAGTCTGACAAACTGGCGCTCATGCTGCAGCATCTTTTATAATTTTCAAGAAAAAGGTGAATAACTTTCAACAACATTCTCAGAATTGCAGAAAATTTAGATTGTTAGCGATGTTCATTTCTTGCTTAAACTTTTTTTCGAAAACTTCAAAATTTTCAGACAGGTGGCGCCTCAATATGATCTTAAACTAAACATCACCAATATGGGGAAAATACTCTACATTTTAATAACATTCTCAAGTAGAATCTGGTGTTGTCTATTTCAAAATGGCATTTGTAAATTTAAAAACTTCAGGCAGTTGGCGCCTCATTATGATACCACCCTTGGAGTTTGACTCGGAGGTTTGGCTGTATTATATATATTATGGTACAGTGGACCCTTGTTTAAAAGCTGCTAGGTTAGCAAACTTTTCAGTTAACGAACTTTTTTCTGCGGAAAAGCTCAAATTTTAAAATTCAAAATTTGATTTTTTAAAGGCTGAAATTTATGTTATAGTTTAATTCGCAAACTCACTAATGAAAAATTATTCCCTCCCGAGTTCTGACCCTGTAATATTGTATGTGTAATCTTGTACAGTATTTTAAAATTTGTTCCAGATACAGTTTTATATATGTTTTTCTGCACTTGGTTTTTCTATTTGCTCAATTGTTAGAAAGGTCTACAGTATTTGATCGTTACTTGGAACGGTAAAAAAAGGAGTTTTATTTTCACCTGACATGTATCATACAGTGCGTGTTTCTCTAGATGTGATAAAGCTTTTCAATCTTTGTTTTCATCAGTGCTACTTTGATATAACACCGTAAAACATTCTGGGCTCATATAAGATGCAGCAATAACTTAAGCTTATTATATTTCATGGTCTCGAAATGTTTATATTCAATGTACAATTGTCTTTGGTTCATGGAACGGATTAAATTCTTACCCATTGAAGAAGGGGAAAATCAACGGATTAGATTCTTCCTCATTGAAGACACTGGGAAAATCAAATTTGGTCAACAAACTTTTGTCTGAAACCAATGAAGTCTGTTAACCGAGGGTCCACTGTATAATGGCACGTGTAGAAGTAATTCGGTTAAACCGAATTATTTGTACATGACAATCAGAAGAAGAAACTCACTTGCTAGCAATGGTGGAAACTGTCTGAGCAGCGTCGCAGCCAGGACACGCTTCCACCAAAGCATTGGCCTTTTCACCAACGACTTCGGCATCAGCGCACAACTTCCCAACTTTCGCCTGCAGCTGCTCACACAACTCCGCAGCTTTTTCATCCCCGATACTCGCATCAGTGCTACCAGAACTCAACTGGCGATACTCCAACTGCAGCGCTTTCATGTCCCCTTGTAACCGTTCCTCCAAGTCCTGCAACTCTGACCACTGATCCTTCAACGCACTCAACCTACCGGTCACGGTCTCAGTATCTTGAGCAACATTTGCAACTGTTTGCTGCGTCGCTGCGAGGTCAGCTTTCAGCTTTCCGAGCAAGGCCGGAGTTGAGACGTCGTTTGACTGCAGTCTCGAAAGTGTTTTGGACGTGCTCGTGACATCGTTTGCGAGGACGCGGATTTCGTCTTTCCGATCGTTGACCCAATTGATCTTCGCTTCCAATGCAGAGAAGTCAGGGATGTCAGTGGTGTCGAGCCAACTGAGTTTATCTTTTGCGGCCTTCGCACGCCGTTCCAATTCTTTGACTTCTTCCGTCGGCTTTTTCATGAGGGCCGAGGACAATGTCGAAATTACCTGATGAGATGAAAAAATGCTGCATTAGAATCGATTCAAAGACCGAGACGTCATTTTCGCATTTAAAGGGACAATTTACATTCTATTTTTGGTAATAAATACTGTAATAGTAATTAGGAACCCGTAATACATTTTTCTACCTGGTCTTTTGCGACAAATAATTGTTTAATGGGAAGATGTTACTGTTACCATACCGATTTAATTTTACGCTTCACTCTTCGACACTTCAATTTTAATTTGAAATTAAGGTCCTCACATTATTTTAATGTTCAGGTGTCATTCGAAGCCGCAAAAACGCCAACAAATTACGTCATCCCGAATTCCGTGTTTTGCTGCCATCTAAAAGTTCTATCTTTCATCTCAAAATCATGAGTTGTTTTCCCGAAGTATAGATGTCACTGACTTTTACATGCTAACTCCTTACTGAGTCATTGCAAGTTCCTATTGCCTCTGGGATCCTCCTGCTTGAACGAGAGTTTTGCTGTTTATCTTTGAAATTCACCTCTCAGATGACCGTGAAGATCACTGTATAACATCAGTCGTCGGGAATTATGGTTTCTCACGCATCTCGATACGATCGATTACGATTAAAGTTGAAGTACTGTACTGTACTAATAAACCATAAAAGTCGTATTTCTTCACAGCAAGATCATTGCAAAAAGACGGGAACTTTTCTCTCTGGATACTTTACTCAGTAAAAAATTACGTCTTATAGCTGTATTCGAAAAAATACCGTACCTTGCCAGCCAGTGCTTTACATCCCTGCAAAATCTTCTCCGCATTTTCAGCATCCTTGGAAAGCAATCCAATGCTGGGCTCCGTAGGGTGCTGCTTCTTGAATACTCCAATCGCACCTTTGATCGCTTGCAGACATTCCATTTCTGGCTCAATTCCCGTCAGCGCATGTTTCGCATCAGCGACTCTCGTCATCAACAACTGCTCATTTGTCGTCGGCTCCAAAAGCTTCATCAATGACGACTTCGACAACAATATTCTGTCATTCAAAGCCCGCAGCTTTTCTCGAATGAGACGTTCTTCCCCTGCCTGGGCTTCGAGTTTCGACGTGGAATCCAACGCCGACGCTTTGCATTTTTGCAAATCTTTGTTCAAGTTGTCAATGTCGCGCTTGACTTCGCTAAATGCTCCTGTTTTGCAAATGTCGGCAATTTTCTCGTTCAAACTCGTCATTATGCTTTCGTGAACAGGGAGCTCAGCGTTGAAGGACTCCAGGAAAATCGCCAGAGATTCCGAGTCCTGAGACTTGACTAATGCGGAGTTCATTTTCTCTATCCACGGAGAAAGCTCTTCTTTCTGCTGTTCGATGTCTTCCAAGATAACGATCAACGTGTCCCTAGACTGAGTCCGCTTCGTGATGGAATCCACCAGGTTCTGCCAATTTTTCTGCAACGCGGGACACGGGCTTGAAATCTGGGTCGACCTCAACTGAGGAATGGATTCCAAGGCTTGCTGAATATGTGAGAAGCGACCGACGCAATGTTCAATTTGAGCTCGGATTCGCTTCAACAAATCCAAGTTCTGTTTGCAGGTTTGTTGGTCGGCAACAACGGCGTTTTTCGAGTCCAACGCGGCTTCGGTCGTTGCCAAGGTTTGCGCAACTTTTTCTAAAGACTGCTGAAGAGTCTCTGCGAATTCGTTGGCTTGTTCCCAGTTCGCACTGATCCGACGGCAGTTGTCGGACAACTCCAAGGCATTGGAGTCTGCTCTCAGCCAATGAGTGTACAAGGCGTCGATTTCGGCTTGCAACAAGGATTTCTGACGCGGTTCCCGAGACCCGATTCGGTCACACAGGGTTTGCAATCTTTCGCTCTCCGGCTTCTTCGATTCGAGCACGCGTTTTTTCTGGAGAGCGTTTTCCGAGACTTGTTTTATGCCTTGTGCGGTGTTTTGGGATGGTTTCAGGGTCTTGACTTCTTCGAGGGTTGATTCGATCAGCTGCCGAAGAGCGTTTCGCAGGGAATCAAACGAAGCATGGTCCGATTTCGCTTCATTGAATTCTTCTCCACGTTCAGCAGCCTATGCGGAAGAAAATCGTGAATGAGAGATCTACAGAAGTTTTTTTTTCGTAGAACGAACTGAGACTAAGTTCCTAGCTTCCTTTTTAAACTGTAGGAATAACAAAACAGGGCGTGACAAACTATGCCAATTTAACCTTTAAAAACGGAAATATAAAATGTGGAACACCATTATTAAATAAAAGAAATTTCCGAAGATGAAGTTGGGCGTTCACGTAAGAAAAATAAATAAATAGAGGTACTGCACATGTTCTTCAAACTTTTGCAAACCGAGCTACAATAAATAAATTTTAATTATTCTCGCCTTTCCTGAGTTTTAAAATACAGAGAAGACACGAAAAACCCTCTCGGGGATCAAAAAATTTCGCAAGTTCACCTCTCTCTTCCTCACAGCGACAAGAGCGCAGATTTTTTCCCCGAGTTGATGCAGTGATTCTCCGTCGGTTAAAATGACTTTCAAAGAAGCAGCTTCGCTCAAGGCTTCGCAATTCCGGATTTCACCCGGTTTCGATTCCATGTGCTCCGCAATCAGGCTTAAATCCCGTTCAATTTTTCCCAAAGCTAGCGAGAATTCATCCGGTCCCAACGGTGCATAAAGATGTTTCCGCATAAGATCGAGTTTTTCTTCGGTATCTTTTGACCAACGGAGTATTTCTTGACACTTGGTAATCGCACGACGTTTGGCTTCAATAAGCGCTTCCGTTTCCTGATAATTTTATTTTAGAAAATGAGCATCTTTCGTGCACATTGCGAAGCGCAAAATCAGCCTTACATCAAGATCTTCTTGAATCGCAGCTTCTAGAGCAGGCAAACCACCATCGGAGTCCTGCACTTTCTTGGCATCGCTCCGCAATTTTGCGAAAACTGGTCTCTGATCCGTGATATCTCTCAAAATTGACCCGAGTTCCCCAGAGGTGGTTTCTATATCTGCCGAAGGAATTTCATTGATCTCTAAAACTCTTGCTCGTCTCACACCCAGCCATTGCTTGAAATCCTGCATTCTGTGCGTCAAATCATCCCTGAAGAGATAACAAAAAGTGTTCAGCAAGCCCTGAATTTGTTTCAGGTTACCCCAAAATTAACGTACCTCGCCATTACCAGCTCAGTGAGACTTTTCAAAATTTTTCTCGAGGACTGGATTAACTCAATGTACGAATTTCGCAGAGAAACTACTTCATTCTTCAAAGATGATGCCCCCTCAGAGCTCAGCCTCGATGCAACTTTGTCAGCGTCTTGAGAAAGCACCAGCAGGCTTGCTTGCCTTTCCCCAGCTTCTTTGCAAAGATTCTGAAAAACAGAACAAATTCAATGTAGTTAATTCAACTGGTTCATGAGCCAGAAACGTAAAATTACGGAAACTGAATGTGAATCAAGTTGAACAAAATCAAAAAACTTTCCAAATTACTAAGAATATTCCAGTTCAATAGGTTAACAATTTTAGATTTTGAAATTTTCTGGAAAATTACATTTTGATTTGCTGTCTGTGATTCAAGTAAAGCGATATCAATCACGAGGAAAACCTACCATACCAACAGAAATTTCATAGCAAACAGTCCAGTTCTAAAGCCAAAAATTAGTAAATTACAATTATTTTTTGTAAACTTTGTTCAAGTCTTCAATGTACATCAAAGGTGAAAAATATGAGAGTTCTTTCACATAAAGAAGGAATGAACCAACACTAGTAATAGGTAGGAATATCTATTGCTAATTGAAAATTTCGAACCCGGAAACTCATTCAGAATGAAACTATCAGATTGTGAAAAATACCGTGCCGTAAACTTTCGCTGCTTTAGTTGTACAAATGTTCAAGCTCTGAATAAATTATTCAAGTGATTTATTGAAGTTGCTGACGATTAAATTTGCCCTGCTCCGAAAAACGAAAATATTGTACAACTTTAATTTACTCTACTGAAAACCACGTTTCGTGGAACATGTCATTCCTTTCAATCAAACAGAAAAGAGCTAATTCCACATTTAAGGAACCGCTGCTTCCGAATTAGTTTGAATTTATATCGACAATATAAAAATTTAACATTCAGGACATTTTAAAATAAAAAAAAGCAGGAACGCACCTTCATTTTTACCGCCATAGAGGCGACATCTCCGACAGCAGTTTCAGAACAGCTGATAAGAATGGACTTGGCGGAATCTATCCAACTTCTATGCTCTTCGATGCCATTCAAACATTTCTCCCAAGATTCTTTCAGTTCTTGTAAGGTCTTCAAATTGCTCTCTGCTTGTTCTCTCACTGATGCCCAGCGACACTGCAAGGAATCGAATTCCTCCAAGGTACTTTCCGGCATCTGCTCTGATTTCGCTTTCAAGAGCACCAGAGTCTTCTGCTTTTCGAGGCACTCCTGATTAATCACCTGCAAAACGCAGAAAAAAAGGGGGAATAAGCGACTGTTCAAAGCAATGCGACTTTACGTTTTGTAATGATGTGCACACAAACCTTCCAGGATTCCAAAGCATTTTTGGTTTCGATCAAGGTAGTGAATCTAGGGATGCCTTCCACGAGCTGCGTTTCAACTTGGCCAAGCCACGGACGGACAGTTTCTAAACCGGTTTGGAATCCTTCCCATTGAGTCAATTCCTCGGCAGACACTCTATGCTGCAGCTCCACGGTTTCCACCAACTTTACAAGCACTTCTTTCACCCCCAAGATTTCAGTCGACAGAGGAAGCACAGCATTTTCAGAATCTTGGACGGATTCATCTGGACCTATCATCAAAAACATGCGCTTGAAATGATAACCTGAGAGACGGAAACAAATTTTTTTTTCATTTTCGCAGAAGATTCAGAATTTTTAGGGGGAATATTTTTAATTTTCAGTCATTCCTTCATGAGGTGTATTGATTTTTAAAAATATAAAAATCGCCGCAGAGCGAAAACCAGCAGCAGGCCAGCAATTTCAGTCAGAAGCAGATTTAGTTTAGTAGCGCAGCAATTTTCAACGCGTTTGATGCATTTAGTAAATTGTAAGCCCATGACGTGCTAAACCAATGAAAAAATTACATGGTTTATCGAAGTAATTCCCCGAAGCCCTAAAATCCGCCCAAATTTGCTTTTGACTCCTTGATCAAGCCAATTTTCTTTTCTTCGTAAGCATCTCAGTTTCTGGACTGGAAGAGTGACCAAATCACTTGTTTAATACCGGTACACTAACCCGGAAACATTTATAAATTCGTCTGACCACGTTTAATATATCTCCGGTTGTCACCGTAGCGTCATCATAAACTTTCATAATTTCAGAAGTTAGATTAGAATTTCTTCGCAGTTTGAAACGAAAATTCATGACTTGCAGCTAGTGTGCAATCATAACTTTAAAAACAGCATGCGTCAGCAATGAATCACAACTTCAGACTGCAACAAAAATGTTGAAACTTGCTCCATATTGCTGCTCTGGTCAACTCAGGATTGAATGTCAGTGATTCACTATTCATTGGCACTCAGCAGCAAGGTGAAGTAGATTACGAAGTATTTTGGCATATTCTAAATTTGACACCTTAAATTGAACACGGAAATGCTGACAGATAAAATCTGTTGCGCGCTAAAATCTAAAGCAAAAAAATAAGACTTACCTAGCATGAATTCTCTAGCACGCTTTTCTAAATCACTGACTTTGAGCAAGCTATCACGAACATCAGCATTCAGCTGCCGGCTTTTCACCTCCCTTTGAGCAGGAGGTCCAGTCTTCATCAACAACGACTCTAAAATCTTCTGCGCTTCTAGCATCCAATCCTTTATCGCTCTCAACTCGGAGCTGAACTCTGAAAACTTTTTGGAATACTCTTCCAAGGCACCAATTCGTTCCTCCACACCCCTTTTTACGGCATCCAAACGAGACTGAAAGGACGTCATAAGGGTTTGAAGACTCGCTGGGGACTCTGATGAAGAGCTTAAGGCTTCTGCGAGGTTTTCGAGGCGACTCAAATTCGTAGTTCCTTCTTCGAGTTGACAGAGAAGAGATTTCTTTGTCTGCAATTCGGCTATCACTTTAACAGGGTCGTGTCGAGGCGCTGACGTTTTCAACTCGTCCTTGGCTTTCTCGAGAAGCTGCAAGAGCTCTGATTTCTTCGCTTCAAATTCACTCCACAACTTTGCAGTGCCTGAAAAAATATTTAAAAACAAATCATGAGCTCTTAATCGAAAAAAAAAATTTATATAGCGATTTTTGTTCTTACTTTTCAGCTTCTCCGTGACTCGCAATGTGTTCATTTGTGCAACGTTCCAGCCTTCTTCGAGGCTAGAGAGATCGTCTTTGACGAATGTTGGAACATGCGGATCCTTGATAAGATCTCTGCCACGCTGCATGCATGTGATGAGAGCCTCTCGTTTCGCTTCAACCTGGTTCGCAAATTTTTCTAAGTCTTCTTTCAACTCGGAAACGATTGCAAGACTGTCGGAAGCCTCGGCGGCGTCCACCAAAGGATTCACCGTATTCAGGAAATTACAAAGCTGCAGGAATAATTTTTTTTTCTTAATTATGATGCACTTCTTAGTTTTCTTTTTTAAATTCAAAAAAACCTCGTTCGCTTCTCTTTTGAAAGCATAAGCCTTTGACCAAACATCGCTTTTCGTCAGCGTGGCTTCAATTGACGGAACCAACGATCGGTAACGGGAAATGAGTCCTTCAAGATTGCTCTGCTCATCAGCAGCCTGAGCTTCGGAGGCATACATGAGTAAACTGTCCAAGATTTGCACCAGACGCTTCATTTCCTCTCGTTTCGCCTCCACTTCCCGACATATGCCCTGAAATTTTTCACGCAAGCGAAAAAAAATTCCGTCTAAACTCATCTCGGAGAATGTTAAAAAACTTGAAATCAGGGCAAAGTCAACATTCACTTCAAGGCAATTGCGTAAATATGTACAAATGAGGTGGTGAAATGCCTGTCAATGTTTCACAAACAGGGTTAGAGAACGGGTGTCTCGGGCAACGAAATGAGGTAGTGTGATGTTTCGGGTGAACTGTTTTCATGACCAGATAAATTTCAGATCAACACTTTGAATACGACAGACCTTGAATTTCCAGGATATGATCAAAAAGCATATAACAACGAAAATAAATGTCTGGGTCGTGTCCATACATGCAGTTAATTCACGTTTACAAAAGTGTACCCCACATCAAAAAGCACTTACCTACAATAACTACGTCCACGAGTTGAACGGGGAAAACGCAGACTGATTTTTAAACAACGATATCTCATCCGGATTCGTGAAAAATCTCAACCAGACGCTCATGCACTCAACTTTTCAATAATCCGAGTAAATTTAATAATCCGAGTAAATTTGATATGACCACCATGACTATTATGAAGGAGAAACACAACATAGTTTGCAGTTCGCAGGGATGAATAAGAAAAAATCGAAGCATACGCCATCATACGTTGGTTTGAAGCAGGACCTGAGCGACTCGAAAATTTGAAAAATTTGCATAATTAAAATGCATACATAAAGTAAAAACTTTTGATTTGTGAATTGCTGTCTTTTTAAAATTGTCTCCATGATCACATCAAAGCTGAACATAGAATATAATTGAACAATTCATTTTGAATGACAGACATTTTCAGAGACGCCTCATGAAGTTAAGAATGCAGTATATCATTGTTCAAAAATTATCTGCTGTTATTCACCCCCTTTTTCTGGTGTTAATACCGCTCGAAGGGGAAAAAATCTACGCTGGTATACAAAATCAAAACAGAAAACAAGAGTTGAACGAGGAAAGGAGACAGGCAAGGAAAAAAAGAAATAACCAAGAAAGTTAGGGCGGATGCAAAAATAAGCTCAGCGTTTCGATATTCACCATTAGTCCCAATAGCTTCGGCTAGTTCGTGTTCAGACGAAGGAAGGCAACGCGGAAAAAAGAAAGTCCAGAAATTGTTAAAACAACAGGGTCTTCAACATCGATCACCACACAACAACAAAAACCCCGTTCACAGGAATTACTCTAAATTCCCCTTCACCGCATTTTATTTTCGTCTGGCCAGTTCGAATCCCTGACCTTTTTTTTTTTAAACATTTCCCTATACCAAGCATGGCTAAAACTCACGTCACATTCGAAACCCACCTGCAGTTTTGCACGCTGTCCTTCAAACTCTTCAATTGACAACAAGTCCTTGGATATTTGACTGAGACAGACATTCACGTCATCCATCCAAGTTTCCATTTCTGAAAACCTTAAGAGGAAAATGAAAATATTACGTGCGTGAGTCAGGCACTGATAACTTAGCGAAGACTATTTGTAGCATAAGCTCGAGTATGGTCGTCGTCTTTTTCGTCAGGAAGCTCCTCTGCCTTGATTGATTTAAATCATCATGCATGTTTCAAATGGCACTACAAGCTATTTTTAGCTGAGGAAGCAAACACTTTGAGGACTTCGATTTGTCAACCTGAGGTCGAAAAGTTAAAATTCAATAAAGCACTCAGTTCAACTGATATCACAACAGTTTCAGTGACATAAAATTCCTTCATCACTGCTGAAAAGTTCATGACGAAATAAGTTACTCAAATTAATGACGCTCAGCGTGGTTTTTAATAGGTAAGAGAACATTTTAAATTACATATTTTTGAAAAAAGAATGTCATGATCACTATTCAGTATTAAGGATATCTTTATTCTTTTCTTTGAATCCAGTATCAAGCATTTATTTACAACTGTTCCTTTCCACGAGAACATTGAACAAAATGACAAGACTTTCAAGTGTGTGTTGCACGCGGCAATTTTCTCAGCGTGCCTCTTTCAGTGAAAGTTTTCAACGGTTCGAAAAAATAAGCGTTCGCTTAAACTCGACTTTGTTTAATTGTCTTGTGACAGCGAGCAGAGGAAAATAAATCCCGAATGAGTAACTTACTTCTCCCGGTAAGTTTCCCACTGGGCGGGAACATGACTGACTCTGGCAATGAAATCATGAGCCCTAGTTCTCATCTTCTCCAATTCATCCTTGCAATTCTGAACTGTAGCCTGGAACCCATGAAGGACCATTTCATGTTTTGGACCAGAGAAGTGGGCACAAGACCGAGCAAGATGCCTCTCCATGCTCTCCAATGCCACTTGGCACTCGTACACAGGACATCCGTCCTCACAGCCAAACAATGCCTGGAATTCAAAAATCAGTCACAAAAAGGTATCCCGCCACAAAGTTGGAAACAACGTGAAAAAAATTTAAAAATAAATAAAACCTTATGCTTGGACATGATGGTCTCTGGGCTTTCGTTTTGGCTGAAACTCTGGACCTGTTGGCACAACTGTCGATCGACCTCTTTGAGGTAATCGTTGAACGTGATTTCATCCAAACGAAATTCAAGCTTCAGGACATGGAGTGGGGCATAAGCTTTGGCCTCCTGCAGAAAAATCACAGATGCGTAAAAATACTCTATGATTCTCATTAATGATATACAAAAATATTCGACCGATTTCTGAATTTTCAGCAAAATTAAAAAACAAAATTTTAAGCACTTTTTCGTCGCAGAATATACGGTAGAACGCTGTCAAACAAACGAAAGTATCCGCGAATCTTCCAAAAAGGACCCGTGTAGCTATGATTATTGAATGCACATCAGATCTTGGCAGAAGTATTTATTACGGTAATGTATCATCAGGAAGAACTTACACTCCAAGAATCGATCAGCTTCTGCACAGCCATGTTGATATCCCCATGTTCAGCAACCGGTAAGCAAGTGCATAAATCTTGGCGTGCAGTTGTCAACTGGGCTTCCAGATGTTCGTTCGGACGCGCGAAGAATGTCTACAAAACGTCAGAAAAAGCGAAGTCATTAGATTTTCGGGATCGAATATTGTCCTGCAAAATATTCCGCAATTCAATAAATAAATAAATAAGCTTAAACTTACCTTTTGCATGTCCAAACCCTGGCGGGATTCCGGGGTTTTCTCTCGAAAAAATCTTCCGGCAGTTTCCACCCAATCGCTGACATCCCTGGAAGTGTCTTTCAGCTTTTGCCAACAGCACACAGCCTTATACAAAGCCTAATGCATATTTTTTTTTTGGAAATACCAAAGATTTATTAGCTCATGAATGATGAAAATTTTCTGCCAGAATAAACACAAACCTGCTCAGCAGCTTGGGCATCAGCACAAACCCGATTAAATTCTTCCCAGTGAGCATCAATATCTCGACTGACATCCGACAAATCGAGGCTGGAATCCAGATCAGTTGTTGATCTCTGCAACCCATTGAATACCGCGTTTTTGCTCTCCAAAATTGACCTGTAATACGGAGCTCGCGAGAAGAACACCTGGACGATACAATAAATTGAATAATTGTTTATCTTATACATATTATTCGTAAATTTAGTCACAAACCCTGTGGGAATCCAACGATCTTTGGAGGGTTTCTGCGTTCCCAGAAACCCCTTGAGTCTTCAGACGAGTCTTGGCTTCTTCAATCCAATCGGAAACTTCCTTCAACCCGGAATCAATGGCTTCGCGTTGTGACGAAAGTTGATGCAACATGACCAGTCTCGTCGGAATCGTGGCATTGATTCGTACCAGATCCTCTGCAAATAATTTCATCAATCATTCGATTAAACCAGCTCCAAAAAAAAATTTGCAGCGCGAATACCTTTATGCTTCTTCAAACAACCCATCATTTCATGAACGTGGTCCGGAGGAAGTTCTGGCACCAAAAGTTGGAAAACTCTGCTATTTTTCCTCAATGTTTCTTGTATTCTGTCCAATTCACTTTGTAATTTCTATACAAGGAAAAAACAGACACACTTCTTATATATTTTCCAGGAATTCAATCACTGTCAAATCCACATCTACATGATTTAATCAGACGATGATTCATCAAGTAATCTGAACATACGGCATGAAAGTTACAGCAGTGCAATGGAGAAGTCGACATGTAGTCTTGAAGTGAATCAAATCTTGGGTAAGCACTGCATGAATTGTATACAATTTGATAGCGAAGATGACCAGAAAATGAATTCTTGAGTAGATTGCGAATAACGCGAAAAATTTCCTAATTATTCAACTTCCACCGATAATAAAGGAAGGAAACCACAGATACACGGAATGATTGGGATGACTAATATACGAATAAGACGTCATTTTGACCCCAATGGACCATGCATAAAAAGAATTATCCACATGGGATGAATATTTCTCAGGGGTCAGTAACTTTTTGGACACCCACATTTTAATTAGAAGTTTAATTCAAAGAATCGAAGCGTTCAGCCAATACCTTTAGTTGATCCTGGTAAATAGCCAGAGCAGCTGGGTTCGGCGGATGTCTGGCACCCAATAAACCATCAGCCTTAGCGATCCAGTCACTGACCTCAGCTCTGCCACCTTCCCATTCTTTTTTCGTCCTCAAAATTTCGCCACTTCGCATATAGTGTCTCACCATCTGTCAAAAAATCCACAGCATTACCGTAATACATGATAACCTTTTGAATCCGATGTTTTCTTACGGGGTAAACGGCATCCCAGCGGTCATTGATTTGATTGAGCCTGGAGTCCACTTCTTCAGCAACTCTGTCTTCACAAGTCGCTGCCAAAAATCGACCGACTTCGTTGAGCGAATGATGACTTTCTTGCCATTCCGGAAGATCCTGAGTTCAAGAATTAGCGAGAAGATATTCCTTCAGCCCAAAAGTCTTCAGGAACATTATCAACTTGCTGCGCTCGTTTTCATCAAGTTTTTTTCTTCTAAATGGAAATTTAAATGTAAATGTTGCTCCGATTTTGAAGACAATTTTTCCTACAAAATATGGGGCGAGATACCGCGAACAAAATGCGCTAGGTGCTTTTTGTAAATGATAAATTAATTTCCATTTTGAAATGTTCTTCGTTTCAAACACAGGTCAAACAAATGTTTTCTTCAATCGCTACAAATCTTGATCGCAATCGTTTGAGTACAAGCCATTATTTTCATTACAAACTTGATGAATTAGTTCACTAATTTTAACAACTGTAATTGCCGTCCATTCTCAAGAAAATTGAAAAAAGAAACTGTATGTCAAAAAAACCCTGCAACTATTTTTTGTCTTGATCATATGTAAAATATAGAAGTGAATTTCCAGCAGCAAGAAAAAAATTACCCTGAAAAACTCCATTTTCTGATCCTCGTCCGCTTTGACCATTGCGGCAGCGGTGTCCAGCCAAGATTCCAAATTTTCGGCCGTACTTGAATAATGTCTCCAAAACATGATGACTTTTTCTAGTAAACTGTGAACACATCGCAATTCGACCGACACAGTTGCCCAACGATCGGAAACTTCGTGGCTAATTCTTGATATTTCTCGTGCTTCTTCAGTATCTGTAAAAAAATTGATGTAAAATTTACAGAAATAGTTCTCAATAATGTCGGTTTCTTCGAGAACCCTTCGAAGCAAAAATTACGACATTACCAGGGTTGAACTCATCGGTGTACAGCTGGGAAGCCTTTTGCAAATCTTTGTACGCTTTGTCGAATTCCTGGAAGACATTCCGATTCGAAACAAATCGCTCGTAATCTTCAAGCATTTCTTGAACCCGTGATTCTTTCCCGTACGAAGTCGTCCATTCTCGAAGCTTCGTTTCAGCGGTCAGCAAAAACCACAGCAGGAAGCACTAATCCAAAAATAAAATTTTTGCAACAAAAACGTTCTCCTTACGGAATATGTTCATTGACGCACCTTCCTTTCGATATAAAATAATCGAACTTCTCTTCGATTCGCAGGTCTCGGTAGGGCTAGAATCCTCCGATGCAAGTCGGCAATTTGTTCCCCACTTGCTCCTGCCCATTCTTCAGGCTTTGATTTCACATTCGCTAATTCTTTCTCGACACGGGCAAGCTCCGCAAAGAACGCCTAAAAATTGAAAAAACTCAATGAAAGAATATAATTGTAAACGAAGAAAAACAAACTAGATACGCAACACAAAACGGAAACCAGTCGATGATGACCAGAAAATGTTCGGACAACCAAAAAGAAGGATGTGCGAAGATTTAACGGACACAAAAATGCAGTAGAAAAATAAAAAATATATTTGGTAGAATGCATGCTGAACTACATTACATTTCGATGGTGAATACAGTATTTTGAGGTTTAAAATGATTCATGCAACAGTAAGATGAAAAATTCTTTATTCTTCTATCAAAATTCTTCCGGGAATCGAAGTAAACATTCCAGGCAACTTTAAGTTTGCTTATGCTCATGCAAGATGAAAAAAGGAATTTAACTTGATCTAACATTGTGTGCATTTGAATGTACTGCAGCTGAAAAAATGCTTTATTGTACTGGAGACAACAGCAACGTTTACCATTCAGATTTAGAAGACATCATGGCAAAGAAAATTTCCAACGACTCCAAAAAAATCCAGGAAATCATAGACTAACCCGATGATCTTGAAGTTTTTGAGACGCGCTTTTGTAAGACAATCCAGGATCATTTCCGGAGAGCAAAGATCTTGACAATGAGTCAACGTCGGAAACTAAAGCTTCTCCTCTATAAATCCAATCCCCGATCGCTCCAATCCTGCCTTCCAGTTTTGAATCGAATGCTCGTTGTTGATTGTGCAACTGTAACAAAGGAGGATGTCAATTGAAATCTCCACTTTTTCATGAAATAAAAAAAGGTATTCAAAATTGTGCCTGAAGTCTGCATCCCTCGCTCCCTCAACATGCTGTTAAAAATCTCTAAATTATTTCAACGCTAAGAAGCACTGTACTGAGAGATCCACTTCGGAATTTTCAGTCAAGTTTTTAAATCGATAAATAACACGCATTTTTAGTAAAAGTTGAGAAATAAATAAAGAAACATACCTCATAGTTTAGCTGGTCCCATTGTCGCTGGATCTGTGTCCAAGATTCAATTGTGATCGAAACCATGCTTTGTCCACTCAACGCCAAGGTTTTCAGATGCTCGTATTCTTTCCTTTTCTCGTCAATTTCTCTCCTCAACATGGCGAACTTCTGCAATCGAAAATTGTAAAAATTAAATCTGCAAATTCAAGACAATAAAATTCATCAGAAAATTCAAAACAGCACTAACCTTCTGGGCGTTTTCATCACCCGGTGACTGCTTAATTGAGTACAGCACTTGTGTAACTTCAGCCAGCCAATACGTTAGATCGTCGTATTCATGCTCAGCCTTGCCGATAGAACTTTGATCCTGACAACAACAAATTATCCAAGTGTAAAACAAGATGCAAATATAATAGAATCTCAAGACTGAATTATCAGGACAAGCTCTAATTGAAAATTATTATGATGAAAAAAGTTTGTGACCTAAAGTAAATCATTCTACAATACAGTAGTTGACTTTCGAAAGTCATTATTAGATTTTCGAAAACGTCAGAGGTTGTCCCTGATACCATTCGGGATGGTTAGAAAAGCTTCTCTCCCAAACAAGAGGGATTCAATCAAATGAAATCATACAATTCGTTTTTAATTGATCTGAGTGGGGTAAGCTTCGGTAGAATCGCTTGAAAATCGACGAAAACCTCAGTCTGATCTTCACTTTCAACTGAAGTACTTCCTTCACTTTCCTCAAGCCATTATACATCACCCATAAATGTGATATTACTGTATTATATTATTAAAGACAGCTACATGACGGAGAGAATAATTCGTCAAAATTTCACAAACTGCGTAACGCTGATTCTTCCTTGATAACGCCAAATCCGGGTATTTGTGCAGAAATTGTGCGACATAGGTCATGATGGACTTTTCATCCGGCTTCGCCACATCCACATCTTCAGCGTCCATCAATGGAGAGACTCCAAGGTGTCGCTCAGCCACTTTGAAAGCCGTTTCCAGTCTGGTCATATTGGTCCAAGGCCCTTGTGGGTTCAGCATAGTGATGTCCACCAAAGCCGGGTCGATGCAATGAACGATGGCCAAAAATGCCCTGCCATCACGCCAGCTGGCCCCGAAATCTTTTACAGGGATCCCGTATTTGCTGGAGATTGAATGAAACGATAAATTTTCATTTTACTACACAATAGTGACATCTACCCAATATCCGTGAAAAGAGAAAGAGGGAAATATTAAGAGAAACAGAGAGAACAGAAATTTCAGCGGAGTCCAAAAATGCAAGCGTTTTCTTTTTTTCTGCTTGAGCTCCAAATGCCAATATTCGTACATTGAGAAACTGTGATTCTCAATTATTACTTACATGAGGTGTTACCCGCGCTTTTTCATCCTGTTCGGAATTGCCCATTCAAAAAATGAAGTTCCGTCGGGATAAGTTCATTTTACGAGAGGATATTTTATTCTCGACTTTTTTTTCTGGTATTTGACGATTTAATTGTTAAAAACTTTACGATGGAAATTTCAATGGAATCTGGGAGTGGGTAATCAATTCCACGCAGCTTCACATTATTTGGTTAAATTAGCTTTCAGATAGTAACTTCCCGTTTGAACAGATCGATTCCATTAACATATGCACTTCTGTGATTTTATGATAAACGACACTCACTCAGTAATGTTAGTTTTGACCCATTGAAGCAAAGTCTTCTTGGCACCGATTTTCGAACTGTCAGCAAGAGAAACTCGTTTTTTGTCGATTCCCGGCAAAGGAGAATCCGTCGGAACCGGGGAATACGATGTGTTCAGGTGACTGATTCCGATTGTCCTCGCCTCAGGTTCTACTTTTCTTCCCATCATTGATTCCAATAACCTTGTGTTCTCCTCGATCTATCGAAAGAAAAAAAAAAAGAATCGCAATAGTAAAACAAATACCACAGAATGATCGCAAAATCAAATGAATTCCCAGATTGCAAGTTCTAGAAATGAAAAAATAGTGCGTGTCACACAGGAATCTATCAGATAAAAATCGGCTCGAATTAAACTTCGTACGTCAACGATCAGCTATATAAATTTTTCCCCGTTGAAAAGAACCGCTCGATCAACGCGAGTTTCAATCAGCTGTTTTGGGAATCTTTCGATCATCTTGAAAACTTCAGAATAAACACAAATAGTGGGCAATTACTATGAAAAAAAATGAATTTCACCGCCTAGTATAATACTGTACAACATAACAATAACAGCAAATGAGCATGTGAGCAAAACTGAATTCAGAGATTTCTATAATGAACTCTTGAATATATTCAGAAACGAATACAGTTTTCTTTCATTTTCAAAAATTAAGAAAAGCATTCGTGCCATTAAGCAGAACATTCGCGAGCAATAAAAAAGTATACGTAAGAAAATAAACATTTATAACGCTTTCATAACCACTCGAGAATTAGTACTGACATGACAGCCAAACTTCCCGCAGCAACTTCGATTATTTGATGGATATTGATTCTCGTGCAGTTTAGTCATCCGCGGCGGGGTCCGCTATCCGAAGTACCGTGAAGTCTCATTACAACGAAGCCATCGGGACCATTAAATTGGCTTAAATTGCCTAAAATTTGTTTTAAAGTACTGTACAGTACTTCATTCGACGCTGTGGCGATTATTCGTTGTAACGAGATTCTACTCTTGAAAAAAAATCGGACAGTCTCATCGGAGAGTCCATTGCGACAGAACGTATTATTTTAAGCGTTCATAAAAAATGACACAATTGCAACTTAAATTCAAGTCAACAACGTTCCCCCTTCGCTCAAAACAAAACCACTGATGATCACATGCCAAATCGTCTCAGTCGTTCTCCGCGATTACAGAAGCATTCAACAAGGGGTCATATTTTCTTCCACATCCAATGCCTGCTTGTGCCAGGAGAGGAACCCCCAAAACACAAAAAACACACACTCGCATGTTTTTGTCTGCTTCCGCATATGCTCAACACAGTATCGGAAATAATACCCCTCTCAACCAAAAAAAGAAAGAATAAATCACTCACCAACTCATCCATCAAGACGAGTATCGCTCAAATAGAATAAAGGATCCTTTAGAAATGAATGAAAAAATACTCCCGCCACCTTCCGGAATTTCCACAGCCCTCCCAAGTCCCAAGTACCTCGTGTTCCTAACCAACGAATTCTTTGGCCCACGGAATCACACACGGGGGGTTTCTTTCCTTTTCTCATTTTTACCCCCGCTGCTTGTTTTCGATGAACACCTGACGTAAAGCTGACGCACAAAAATACCAGAAAAACTTTTTCGGGGAGAGGGGGGTGGAAGAAAGAAAGGACATCACCACACGGAGGAAGCGTCATTTGCATCGCGGAAGAACACCAACCGAACGTGCCACGCATTTCCGTTTCTCTTTCTCTCTTCCTCTACTCTAACGAACTTTGTGAAAACAGGAAAATAAAATAAAGTGGCGAAAATAAGAGGCATGGGGGAGAGAACATTAGAGGATGCTTCCATGAGCTGGAATTGTGAACTACAAAAAAAAAGCATGAGGGAGGGATAGTCTGTTTCAACGCGGCGTGAGACAGAAAATTCCAGGGATTCGCCGCATTACCTCGAATACGATTCACAAAATCAAAAATAATTTTCAAGCAAGTCCATTGAACTAATGAGCTGAATATTGGTTAGCGAATGCAAGAATCACACTCACCTGCGTCATAATACGCCAGAAACTCTGTCGTGAGGAGTGGGACACGAATGGCACACATTTTGACATTACAATATCTCCTCAAACGACAAACTCCGATAAACGGCATTTCAATTATCTTTCGGAGGGTATTTAACCTTGGAACCTGAAACGTTAGACTACCGTATAACAACGAAAAAGCTATGAGAAATTGCTCAGAATCTATATTAACCGAGATAAAAATTAGTGAAACGTGAAATACCCCCAGTTACCGGAAGACACCGCGACGGCTTCCCTCAAATGCGTCCACTTCACCAGACACAACGTCGTCTTCGACTTTCACTTCCTTGGCCAATCATAGGCCTCTGAAGTAACATACGACTTCTCCATCTAGTACTGATCAAGGTCAACCGTTGGAAATTGAGAAACGCGTTCAAATCTGTCTCAGGGCGTCGTTCTGAAAGGGTGCGCATTATTACCGTGCGTGAAAGTTCCTGAATCGTTTGACGGACAAAATGAAAGAATTCCATTGAGAGAACTCTCGAAACGGAGATTTCAGGCTTGTCCCAGGCTGATCATTGTGTTTTCCTTTTACCTTAGACTTTCCATTCTTTGCCTGCGCCTAACGCGAGAGAAAGAAGTGACGCATCTCCACATGTACAATATTAGTCGATGATTGAGTTGATACTTCAGTAATTTGAAATTATCTACAAGTCAGAATCCTTCATTTTGCACGCCGTGAGAAAAATAAAAATAGCTGCAGCAGTGAACGATCAGCATTCTGTCGTTTCTAACATTTTCCCGTTCTGCATGTATTTTTGTGTGTGAAATCTCCGTGAAAGTCAGTGGATATCTGAGTACCACAAGAAAACTCAGCAGCCGTCGGAAAACACTTCTCGTCACCCCAGTTTCTCGCCGGAGAAAAAACATGCAGGTACAGTACATTTGTTGATAGACAAAATTTTCAACACAACGTATGTCACCATCCTTTTCACCAGTGGGAAGTTTTTTCGCTGAATTAAATTATACACATCGACCGAACATCGCATCTTCGATTCATAATCTATTCCTCATATTTTCAAGATGCAAATTCCCTTTGTCTTGAAACAATGATACAAATAAGTATCTAATGGTTCACTCGTACTTTTTTCCGAATTAATGCTGAAACCAACGTTTAATAAACTGATGAACTATTTTCGAACTTTCAAAACTCAGAGGCTAGTGTTGAAACCCAAAGAAACGATTGACGAAACGCCACATTCACTAAGAACTTCGGAAAGTATATCTGAACAATTCCGAAACATTATATTGATACGGACGTGAATCTTATGACGCCAAGGAACAAATTTGATATCAACTAACGAAGAACAAATTTCAAGATCATTCGTCATCAACGCTTGAAATTCTACATTCTTTCAGCCTAGTAAACAATGATACATTTCTTGCGAATAATCTTTCAATATGCAAATGAAATGTTTGAGTGATTTGCATTTGAAAAAAGGAATCATGAATAATGTAATTTGAAGTATCGTTACAACAAAACTTATTGGGAGGGGGAGGGCAACAAGAAAGTGTCACGCTGGAAAAAAATGCAGAACGTTATTGTTACAACGAGATTATTTTACATTCGAGACGTTCTTGAACCAAAGGATAAATTTCTCTCAGGAAATTATGTGGCGTTTGCCTCAAACTCAATTCGAAATTTAATGAGAAAATTTTCTGTAACTCGTGAAATTAAAAATTCGAAATGAAACGAAGCCCGAAAAAATTTCGCTCTTCGCGTCGTTTCTGGAACAAAAATCCTTTCCTCTCCTCATAAAAATAACCGGCAGTTGCTTCCTCGTAGGTCACAGACGCATCCGCGTCATCGCGCAAAGAAGCAGGGCATTGCACTTTTTGCGCCACTCGCGAAAGAGGCGGTTAAAACTTGAGATTTCTTACCTTTCCCTTCTTTAAAAAATGCATATTTCGTAAATCTTTTTTCTTTCGCGAAGAACGCGCAAGATAGGGGACTGTAACGGGATTCTAATGGGAACGGGTGGGATCAGTTACGCGCGTCGCGTCGGTGTTCACTAGTACGCGACATAAAAACTTGACAACAGAAAATTTGCGACAGTCGCACATGTCTGGAGCAATAAAACGTTGAAAACTCAACTCTTTCTTGTACCCGTTCTGTCTATTGAAAGCGAGGGAAATAATAAAAACTAGGATGAATACCGTGACTCACCTTACCTAAACCTGATCCTCTCCTGTCCTGTGTCCACGAATCTTTCAACATTAACTTCAAGTCTTAACTTTCCTAACTTATTTATCAGTCCTCGTGCCAAAGAAGTACCGTTTCTGTCCGATGAAAGGCAAAACGAAAAGTGAAATGGAGTACATGAATCATCTCACCTGAACTCGATTCGTTTAACCACATTCTCTCTCAGTAGACCCATCCTCAAATATATTTTTTTTAATCTCAGAGACACAATTTCAAATCTTTGTATTCAGAACATCAAATCCTTCATACGTCTGTTAACGAAATTTTCAAGTAAAGCGATTTCTAGGAACGCATTATCATCAAAACAAAAAAGAAACAAGCAATCGACAAAAAAGTAATGCTTCTTCAAGACGGGAACTTTTTGATCTACCGTCCGTGTGAATGTTCTTACTCACGTATCATCAGCGATTAACTCGAGAGTTTTTATTAAATTTCATTCATAACTTACTACGAAGTTTGATTTTCGATTCAACTTTTTCAAGACTCAACGTGTATACTCATAGAATGTTCAATGAGTGTCTTCCTTGAATTTCATATCGTAATTCCTAATGATCATACTCGGGCGATGCTCCCGGCAGAAATTCCCGCACTTGACGACAACCCGTCATTCGGCTGCTAGAAATCCTAGAATGGCACAATAATTTCAGCGAAAGATATTCAATCTAGCTGAAAATTGAGAAACCAGACGTGGAAAAAACAAAGATTTTTTTTTTTTGGAAAATGACGCAAAGGAATTCTTTGGATGACCTCAACAACAGAACCTTTTTCCTCGCAGGTCGGTAAATTACGTAGATGTGCTCTTTCCGCAGCATCACTCAATCTTCCGTACGTACGTGCTTGAAAGGCAAGGAAAATTATTACAAACCCCGATTCCGGCACAAGTACCACTTAGTAAGTGAAGAATGCAAATAAAATGAATGATGATTTTTGAAAAACAGAACATGAGTCCACCCACGAGATTTTTCTGCCCCCTACCGCGAACCCGTGCTATTACAAAAACCCCGAGTTTTGATGGTTCGCATTCCTCGAGGCCCCATTGGTTTTCAGAATGACAAGAATAATCATGGGACGAAATCCGAGACTCAAGACTGAAAAATTAAAAGAGACAAAAGCCTTCAAAGAATATCTCTCACAAGACGATCAATGGTTGGGGCGCAGACGGGGTCAGAAAGCAAGGAGGTGGAAAATATGGGGTGTCAGAAAAGTTGGGTCAATGAAAAATACTGTATTTCCGGTATTTTTTAAATAATCGTGGCGGGTTGAACAAATAACAGCATCAAAATTTGACTGGTATTTATTGAGTAAATTGAAGAAAAAAGGTAAAGGTATAACGTGTTTATTTCATGCTAACTCCTCTCCGTGCAAAAGTGAATTTTGTACATAACGCTGCAAAAGTTATGCCCTTATACACAAGAAGAACCCGAAATCGACTGAAATTTGACATTTCTTGTCATTAAATTCAAGTGCAGCTACGAATTCTTGTGAAATAAATCCAAATTAGTTTTGCTTTCCTGCCACACTTCAATTACATAATGGATTACATACATAAAGAATTGAATAATTTTTTGAACAGAAAAAAATTTCAATTTATTTTTTAGGATTTTAGATGTCACTCCTTTGCTAAACTTTTCCTGGACATGTTTTTGTAAGTACTGTATCAAAATTTGAGTTTTGACTTCTCAAAGTTTATCAAGAATTGCCATGAAATGGATGAAAACCTTAACTTTTTCATATTCAGAAAAAAAGGTTTGTGAAAATGTTGCACCAAAAAAAAAGAATCACTGATTGGATGTTGGGTTCCTTTTTAAAGCATTTTTTAACTGTACCAGTGATGATGCTTACTTGACATGAGTCATAGCAAAATTAGAATGAAATTGAATACCAGTGACATCTACTGACAAAAAGCAATACATCATTATCCAGAATACTATGAAGTAGGAAAATTCATCACACGCAACAAAAATTCACCATTGAACAGTGACTTTTTGGACACCCTAAATAACGTCATTCCGAATACCAAACAAAATTTCCTTTTAATACAGGAAATAAAATACCCAAGGACTCCCACGGGTTCTCTTCAAGCCAAGAACAAAGGGCGATTTGCTTGAAC